AAGAATAGGACTTCCATATTTTGCAATAATATCCTAAAGGAACTAAAAAAGGTCACAAATGTTGTAAGAGACGAGAATGATTGCTGTCATACTTGCCATCAGGCACTGAAAAATGATGCTTGAAACTTATTAAACACACATTTTCCAAGCCAACTCCTACACTGGTTATTTTTTTTTTTAAGTGTTTTTAAATTATATATTGGTTAGCAATTGAGAAAGGATTAGTCTTGTATTTTAAAAATAATGAAAGATTCACCATACAGTATTTGAAAGTGAATGACGTTCATACTTCAAGTTCAGTCTCTGCCTTGCTCTTAACTTTCCACCAAGCTCCCTTTTTGGCACTTGTTACAGTGCTGACTGAAGAATGGCATTTTATTTCTGCATGTAGAATAACTTCTAATTAGAATTGTTTCAGCTGTGCAGACAGCATTATATTTGTATGTTGCAATTGTATATATATAGTCCTCACAATAATGAGCAACGTAATACTGTGAAGTAAGCGTGTTCTAAAGAGATGCAAATAACACTTGAGCAAATACACGTAGCACTTAACTACGACAGCATCGTGGTGGAAACCACCCTTCCATGTCTTCTAATTACATTTTTCAGGTAGGATCAAGCAGAACTTAAAAAAAAAAATAAATAAAAAAGATCACAGGAATATTATTTGTAAGCTGTGCGGAGTTCAGGTTTTCCTGAATTGCACTTTAAATATCACAACCTCTGAGCTGTACAGAAAACTCTTCACAGCGCTGTTAAGGCTTTCGAAAGCTTCTGCCTGTTGCTACCTATTTCTACATATTTCTACAACTCATCATCTAGATGCAGGATGAGAACAGTTCTTTAAACTTACAAAAGAGCACGTATTTTGGAAGATGACTTGTCACCAACGTCTTACTACACACAGCTAAATCACAGGATCACAGAATGGCTCGGGTTGTAAGGGACCTCAAGGATCATGATGCTCCAACACCCCTGCCACATGCAGGGCCACCAACCTCCCCATTTAATACCAGACCAGGCTGCCCAGGGCCCCATCCAACCTGGCCTTGAACACCTCCAGGGATGGGGCATCCACAGCCTCTCTGGGCAGCCTGTTCCAGCACCTCCCTACTCTCACAGTAAAGAACTTCCCCCTGACATCCAACCTAAATCTTCCCGCCCGCAACTTAAAACCATTTCCCCTTGTTCTTCTAATACCTACTCTTTCAAAGAGTTGATTTCCCTGTTTGTAGGTTCCTTTAGGTACTGAAAGGCTGCAATGAGGTCACTCCACAGCCTTCTCTTCTCCACAATCAAAATCAAATGTAGGAACAAATGTAGGAAATCAAACCAAATGTAGGAATGCTGTTCATACAACAGATGTAATTTGTTTTTCTTTTGGAATTTACAGACTGCCCCTGCATGCCTTATAACACATACTGCACTACCTTAGTAAATCTAAAACCAGGTGAATTCTGACTCAGCTACACGTAAATCTGCCCCTTACTAACGTTATATAAACTATACTCCGTTTTGTTGGAGTTTGGATTTTATGCTATATAAATTGTCTCTGTATCTCTTCTGTGACTTTAAGCAGCCATGGTTAGGACGATCAGCACAGAACCACAGACTACATCTGGAGTGGGGAAAACCATCACAGCTGTGTCACAAGGAATTAAGCACCTGTAGCTGTTTCTGGCCCCTTTCTGAAACTTCTTGTGATGTAAATCCAATGTCCATTTGAAGCTGAGAGCGGTGAGGTTACATTGCTAATGCATTTGAATGCTACCAAAATCACTAAGGGTTACCCTCACCCTCCCCCCCCCCCCAGATCCTATACCTTTGCAACCTGCTGCACTGGCTGACTCAATACCAACTTTCGTTGTCATAAAATGAAGGTTCTCAAGGTATTTTCAAATCTTCATTAGATACACTTGGCAGAAACTGGAAAATAAGAATTGTTTCAAATGCAACCCTTACTACTTTTTGAGATACATGAAAAGAGATGGGGAAAAAAAAAAAAAAAAAAGAACCAGGAGTTGCAAAGAGTTCCTAAACAAGATCAGCTCTCAAAAGTGGGATTCCCACCCCACCTGCATGCTGAGCACAACAGGACTCACAGCAGGCACGATCCCCAAAACATTCAGCTCTTCAGTTTAGTTCTGAAGAGAAATCATCTCATCTCTACACACCAGGGCAATCTCTAGCCCAGGGTGAGCCTATTCCTTGGATCCATGGATCCCCAAAAGGGAACCATCCCTGCTGACTGCTGGGAAGGATTTCAATTCCTGTCTAACCCTCAAGCTATCTAAAACTATTTGTTAAGACTGAAAGCGACCTCCAGCCACAAAGACGTTATAGGTGCCCCATGAAACACTACAATTAAGTGAAAAACGCGCTACGTATTCTAGTTCTCAAGGAACTGCAACCTCAGTAGAACCATCTTCTGACTGATATCCCAGGTAGAAAGACAGATCAAGAAAACCATTCCATATTGATCATTACACTATAAATCACGTTGATTATTATTCAAAACATTCAGTGTTACACATTAGTTTTAATCCAGATGCTGCTTAAGCAACACAGATATATATTCTTCATGAAGAATATATAAGTACCTTTGTAACAGAGTGATACACTCCTTCAAAACTACTGCTTTTGTGTCTTGGTTTTTAACCTCTCCCCTGAAATACAAGCACCTATGACAGTTCTTTCTATCACCTACTAAAACACTTTTTATCATCCTTCTTCTCTTTATGACCAATGATACTTCATTTCTGAAGACAGTAACAAAAATTTAAGTACCTGAAATTCCTGAACATGTGACTTGCAAAACAAATGTGAAACTAGAAGGGCTGCTCAGAAAGTAATGCTTCCTATTTTATTCTGTTGGCCCAACACTGCAGAGGTGGATGTTGGTGGTATGGCAGCAGAGGTTGAACCTTCCCAACAATATTCCATTACATGCTGTTATTGTGCAATAGATGGCAGCACAGGGGCACTGTAACACAATGGTGTCTGACATGGAAATGAGTATGAAACAAAGAGCTGTCATTTAACTCCCTCACATGGAAAAAAATGGCATCCATTTACATTCATGATGCTTGCTGAATGGTTATGGAGACCAAACAGTAGCTGTGAGCACAGTGAGGCAGCGGGTGCTGCATTTCAACACTAACACAGATTTTTATGAGTGCAGGATGCAGGCTCTTCTTCATCACTAGTAAAAACACACAGCTAATGGTGGTGACTGTGCTGAAAAAGAGTGCTATGTAGCTGAGAATTTCCTCTATCACATAGTCATTATCATGCTCTTTGTATCTATTGTAGGTTAAATGGAAGTAAAAAGGAGGCATTACTTTCAGAACTACCTACAGATATACATTTTTGAAGGAATAATTTCTGATCTATTCAGGAAATCAGCTGTGATTGTTGAGTGATACCAACCCACTGAAAAGTCACCACTTTGTAGATCTCTGTTACTTTTCTTTTGCAGAGATGGAAAATCACTATGAAATTTATTCTGTGGTCTGCAGACCAAACTACTTATTTTTCACACAACTGCAAGTTCTTAGGCATACACATTATTAAATATGATAGCCCTTAAGGTTACAAAGTGAACATTATGATCACTGAAGTGAAATTCGAATTATAACACCTTCACAACAAGGATCATAGAATGGCCTGGGTTGAAAAGAACCACAATGATCACCTAGTTTCAACCCCCCTGCTATGTGCGGGGTCACCAACCACCAGACCAGGCTGCCCAGAGCCACATCCAGCCCGGCCTTGAATGCCTCCAGGAATGGGGCATCCGCAACCTCCTTGGGCAACCTGTTCCAGTGTGTCACCACTCTTAATACACCCAGGATACAGTTGGTTCTCTTTAATATCCACGTAACGAGTTTAACTACAAAGAAAAGACACGACGGACGTGCTAAGCTGCTGCATGAGAGCTGTGGTTCTGAGAAGCGCTATGCCGAGGTGAAGGCAACCACAATAAAGACTGAACGCTGAGAGGCAGAAATTCAGAAAGGCAGGGCAGTCTCTGAGCAAAGCCCGTCCCTTCAAGGCGAGCTTTAAAAAAAAAAGAACAAACGGCAAAACCCGGCCACATTCGCCGCTAACGAAGGCGCTCCCCACACAGCCGGCACTGCACGCAGCCCCCGGGCGGCTCCGCAGCTCCGCGCAGCGCGGCCCCCCCCTGCCGGCAGCACCGTCCGCCCGGCCCGCGCTGGGTGGGGATGGGTTAATGGCGGGTTAACGGTTGCACTGGATGATCTCTGAGGTCTTCCCAACCTCAATGATTCTGCGGCTCAGTAGCTACACGCGTAACCCCAGTTCTGAGAAAATGCCGGCAGGGACGCAGAGAGCCTTACAGCTGCGGAGCAAACGGCGCCGCCGCTACGATAGGGGACTGAGCGGGCCTGCGTGGAGAAGGGCGGCGTCAGCGCGGCACAGGCGGCAGCAGAACCCCGCCCCGCCATCGGGAGCCCCGCCCCGCCCCACCGCGCCCTCACCTGTCGGGGTTCCGTCCCCGCGGTGCCCCCCGGCCCCTTTCGCGGCTGCTGCCGGAGCGACGCGGCGGCCGACAGCTCCTTAGGCGGGAGACCGCTACACCGCCTCGCTGCCGTCTGCAGCCGCCATCGGGCGACCGTCCGCGCGGCGGCCCGGCTGCAGCCCGGCGCCGCCATGTTGTCCTGCGTGGTGGGCGGGGCGCGAACTCTGACCCCGCCGGGCGCATGCGCGCGGGACCCGACTAAGGCGGACAGCCCGCCATCTTAGCAGGGAAGGAGAGATGGGACTGCACGGCCCGGCCGGCCGCGGCGCTCGCGCCCGTCGAGGAGAATCCGGGGCGGTCCGCACGGCCCCCGGGCCTGCTCCGCACCACGCGTGGCGGGCCTGGCCGAGGAGGGATCCAGCGGCCCCTGCCGGACGCGGCGCTTCGATCGCCGCTGCTCAGAGGAGCAGCCTTGTGACACAGCCTGAGAACACCGCGCTGCACAGACACTGCATGGCTCACACATTGGTTTTATTGAATTTCGGACATGTAATTGAGCATATATACACCGCAGCTGACGTGCTAATAAAGGCGTGGGGAACCTTTTTTCTTCTATACATCTGCAGCAGTTGAAGGAGCACAGATCACACACCACCGTCTCAAAGCTTGGTTCCAGTTCTAAGTGTGGTGATAAAAACATTTGCCAATAATTGTGATCTTACCCACATCTTGTGTCAGAAACAGAAAACAGAATCTGAAGAGAACAAAGGCATAAAGCAACAGGCAGGAGAGCAGCCCTGGAAGGAGAGCTGTGCTGCAGCACAACACTGGGCACTGCTTTTAGGTGTTAACAAGAGCAGAACTACAGGTCCTTCACAGCTACAGAAAAAAAAAAGAAAAAAAAAAAAAAACAGATTTTATCAATGGCCAGGCTACAGGGAAAACAACATTAGCACTTGAAAACAATTTGATGCCTAACAGAACAACTTTCACCCCAAGCTCATCCTCACATTTTTGTAGGTGTAAATGGGAGACCACTCTGTGAATTAAGATAATTCACAACTGATCAAAAGTTCAGAACAGTACATCTTCCCCATTATTTAGGACAAAATGCAATGTTGACAGCATCATCATAGCTGAACTAAACCAGCACTAATAGGCAACTTGCTTCTAATAGTCAGAGCCTTCCTAGTTGGATAACTCATGGACAAATCTTAAGCCTGCTGAAGGCCTTTCTTTAAGCTGGGAGTGCCCCTCTAAGTCCGGTGTCCCATGCAGGCAACACTTAACTGAAATAATGACAAGGGAGTGAAGTAGCAAGGTTCAGTTTGGCAGCAGCATAGATTCAAAATGGCTAAATTGAACAGTAGTTACAGATTCAGAAAGAATTATGTATCCACATGTATGTACAGTATAATTAACTTCTTCAAATAGTTTTTCATTGCTATATTTTTTAAGGTTGCCTTCAAATAAGGGATAAGTCCTTTAAATGCTTGAAAGGCATAAAAATTCCCCTCCCCACACAAAACCCCAAACAACCAACATATTTTAGTTTCAAAAATAATCTGAACCCACAACAAGCTTGTTATCAGTTAATCTGGTAAAACAACTACGTGCTAAATAAAAGCACATCTGGTGGAAAGAGCACAAAGAATGTTACAAGTGTGCTTGGTTCTTGCTTGCAGCAACTGGCAGTGGGGAGCAGGATAGAGGCAGGAATCTCAGTGGGTCTCCTCCTGTGTCTCTTCTGCAATCGTTTCTGTGGCACTGGCATTGGCAGCTGAGTTCAGAACTTCTCCAAAGTCTCCGCTGGCAGGTTTGCTTCCTCCAACTTTAGACTAAAGCATAATAAAGACCCTCAATGTAACAATGCCGTTATTTGGCATGGCAGTTAGCTGCAACTCTGCACAAAGCAGCTTAATAACCCTCCTCAGCTCAGCTTTTCCAGAACTGAGCTACATCCAAATAAACTTCAGATTATTTAGACAACACCTTAAGAATCATAAGCATGCTTCAAGATACAAAAAGCATGAAACAGCCCAAATTCCAAGGAATCCAGGCATGCAGCCTTTCAGGCCATTTATGTTTTAAAAGATTCAGAGATGAAACTAGTTGCTGTATGCTCTGTAAGGATCTCAAATGGTTTTCAGCTGAGGCTGAGAGCACATCTTGAGTTCCACAGTGAAACCTGGCAGCTGTGATGCTTTCACAAGGCAACACGTTTACCTCTTTATTTCTCTCTGCAGTATGTATTGTGTGCTATTGTGCGAGTACTAGCAACACTCAGCTTGCTAGACAGTCATCAGAGCTGCATGCTATTGTTTGCACGCTTCTCATCTAACCCAGTGTGCCCAAAAAAGTCAAATCTAATTACTGGTACTAATTATTTTTAAAAGCTGAGTTTGCTTTTTTGTTTCTTTGTTTAATTTGAAGAAGCTACTAATAGCCAAGTCAATTTATTTTTACAAACGCTGTCTGCAAATTTAAGATACAAACATCTTGCACATTTTATGTCAGAATCAAGACAAGCATTCCAAGCTGTACTATATATTTTCAATTTATAATACTAGGTATGTTATACTAGCTGTTTGTGGAGGTTAGTTACGTGTTAAACAATCTAGTTAAGGCATTTTCCTGGTCTGTTTTCTTCTCCTCAAATCATTAGGCCGAGAAACTATTTCCACTGTACTTAAAAAGGCATCACCTAAACACCTTTGACAATTTACCAGTACCTTTAAAATTGGAACAAAAAAGTTACCCAGAGCTCACAAAGGTCTTTTCTCCACATTCACAGCTCCACAATCACCAAGTAATGCTTACCTTTAAGGTTTCAACTTTTTCCTCAAAAGATTTGAAAGTAGGAGAATTTCTAGGAGACAAAAAGGAACCACAGAATTAAAAACATATCTAGTCAACCTATAAGTATCAGAAAACAAGCAAACAGTGGCTTTTTCCAATGTCAACATGCATTTTGTTTGGGGCTTTTTCCTTGTTTTTAAGAAAAGCCCAAAATACCTACTTATACTACAAAACTAAAATTCAACAACACTCAAGCAGAGCTCATTTATATCTTTTGCAATTAACAATTGCCAGTCTCAACACTAGGTTCTTTTATCACAACATGGAAGGGAAAACAAGCAATTTTTCAGATTTAGCTTGTTTATTTTATTTAGCTTATTTTTAGCTTATTTTTCCCAGTGAATTTCAGCAGTTTTCTGGCTTATGGGTTAGAAGACTTTGCCATCCTAAATAAAGATTGGCTGTCAGATTTTTTTTTTTTTGCTTGTTCTAGGAAAATAACTTTAATTTAACAGGCTGTGTGTTTAATTAACAGACCAGTTCACAACAGCATTTTCTGCTAATGTAAATTTATGGGAGACTCCTCTTGCCTTTTAATTGCTAGAGACAGCTTGATTCTAAATGCACAAGAGCAGGACAGCTTATGATGTTCAATATAGAGGTTCAGTGTACTGTTATTACTAGGATCAAAGGAGTGCCTTAATACTCCAATTAGCTGTCAATGCTGCTTGCAGATTTGTACAATAGCTTGCACAGCTTTCTGCCTCGTGCAGAGTGGAAAATGCTTGCCTTCACTGGACCAAGACTGAAAACTGGAAGCAGACAAAATAAAGTTAAAAATGAAAAAAACTTCCAAAAAGAAGCTTCCCTTTACCCCCTTTGCTTGGTGGCTGTGTATGCCAGCCATGCCTGGATGCACTCTGTCATTTGGGAAAGTGCACACATGTATTCATAAATGGATTCTCTCAGGAGATGAAGGAACAGTGTGAAGCAACAAGAGGCAAGCACTGAAGTGAGCTAGGCACTTTTTGTGAAACATTATTTTCTACTCACTGTCACAGACAGTTCTAAAACAGACACCAAGCAACTGTCTTTTAAACTTGCACAATATTGCATGTCTAACAAGAAGGTGAAAGTTGTTATAGCTCTCCAAACAGCAGGAAAGCACAGTTAGTCACATTCCAGGTGTGCAATACCATCACTGTTAAGCAGAAATAAAAACAAATTTCATCCTACACATTAGTATACAAAATCCAGTATTTTATCTGTTAAATTCCATTTTGATTCCACGTTTGACAATAAATAAACCCAACAGCTGTTTTATGCATACATTACCTCATAATAGGCATGCTAATTGAATGTTGTATGGAGCGTATACTAAATTGCCAGCATTAAGGAAAAAAAGAAAGCAAGAAGTTAGTTGAAATGACAGAGGAAAAACTGGCTTAGAAAGATGACTTTCTGGACATCACCTTTGGTAAACAGTCCATCACATCAAATGTGTGGTTTTGCTTTTTTAAGTTGCTTAGCCATGCACGCACACACACACAAGTACAAAAGAGCAAAAGCTGCAACAATTCTTTCCTTTCTAAAAATATTCAAGTGCCATGCTTGTTAGTAAGTGTGTGTTCTTTTTTTTTTTAGCTGCAGTCTGTCTACCTGTTAAGTCTTCAAGCAATGAGACATGCTGCATTTACAGTTCTGATGATATCAAATACAAAGCAAACACTCAACAGCTATCAGTCAAGTCCTCCTGCTCCAAGGATTAGTCTGACAGTCAGAGTTCCCACTTCACTACAACACAGAAGTTTCATACTCATCAATATAAAATCAACTATTAGGAGAGAGCAGTTCCATCCACCTATATTCAAGATCAGCTTCTGGGTGGGGACAAGGGGAAAGTTCTAGCTCCAATGCTGTTCTGAAACTCATGAAAATTCCTGTAAGCTGCCCACACTGCCATTCTGTAACTGTTTGTCTACTGACAACATGTACCTATTCCTATAAAATGACTGCAGTTATATTAAGGAGCTCCCAGGTAACTTCTAAGACCAACAGTTTCATGCGCTGAAAAATCAGTATTTACTCTTCAGACAAACTAGCCTTACACATTAAATGTTTGTCAAATATCACAACAGCAAGTTAGAAAAACCTGTTTTTCATAGTAATTCAGGATGTTGAATCTTGGCTGGGCTTTATGGCATCTTTCAAGAGAATCTGTTTCAAGCAATTGCCAGGGTGCGGTGCAGAAACAAAAATCCTCACATGATTCACCTTCAGAAGCCAAAGTAGTATCGCAGCACAATGGGAAGTACATTCACAGATGCCAAAGGGCTCCATGTTCATTGCACAGGAAGGTATCAGAGGCTCATTGAAACAACAGTGATAGAAAGAAAAAACACACGCAAACAAATTGCCTTAAGGTTGGGATCCCTTAAGACAGATGCACATCTGAAGGATTTTGTGGGTGCAGAGCACTGGGAAACAGATTCACAGAGGCCGGATGCTGTCCCACCACATCAGCCATGTGAGCCACGTTTCATCCCCTTACCCTAAAGCCCTTTTCTGCTGTTTTTCATCTTCACTGGTGTTTTGAGTTGAGCCAAGTTTTTTCAGAGCGCACAAAGATGACAAGCTTCACGAGCACCATCTGCATTCTTTGCTCTTTGACACAGATTACTGACATTCTATAGTTTTGCTGCTCTTGCCAAGTTTCAGCATAGAAGTAGGTTGATGTTACCTAAATCTTCATGCAGTCACGCTGAGCCACTTCCATTTACCCTGCAAGAAGTGCCTCTCTAATTGAGAAGTTAAAGACTAAAGAGGGTGAAAATTACCTCTGTTTCTCCACATTTACAATCTGCTTGCACAGAAAAGCAGCAAGCTGTGTTATACTGCGTATCTTTTAACGGCTACCTAGAGAACTTTAGCTCAGTCCCACAGAAATCTTTCAATGGAAGAACTATTCACATCCCAAAAAGTTAACTTGTTATGCAATATATTTCACAAATCATCCTCAATATGTGTAAAGCATAACCAGAATAGATGGTTTTTGCACAGAATCATCTGGTTTGCAAGAGAACTGGATTAGATAAGTGAAGTTTATCCTTAACATCAAATCATTTATTCAACTAGCGCAAAGAAGCAAGATAAAATATTGAAAAACTTTACAAAGACAAGGCCTTTTTTCTTTTCACAAGTGACAGACTACCACAAAGCACTCAACCAGTCCAAGAAGTAGGATGGTTTGAAGACTAGAAGCCCTTTTTTAACACCCACCATCAAGTCCCTATAGTAACAAAAAAGGTATAGTAAGTTGCTCTCTAGTTTTCCATACACTTTGTACCGCACTGACAGATTTATTTTAGAAATGATTATTTTTACAGTCACTACACTGTACACTACATTTTGAAAATGCACAGGGAGATGTGTCAGTGTCCCTCCCTAGAAAACAAAAGCACTGGTTATTTCCTTTGTTAATAGTTAGGTTTCCAATTGATATGCTGACAAATTGCGACATTTAGAAGTCCATGATCATATACTGTTCCCAAAGCAAGCAAAGGAAATTATTCTAAGACCTGCAAACAGGGTAAAGATGAGTATTTCTGCTCCACAGTATGGACGCAGCAGAGTTATGATTGCTCAGGAAGCTTGCTAGGACCTGCAATCCTGGTACTACTGCTATTTTGCCTATAATGCTCATGCTGCCTTTACAGATGTCCAGTTAATCAAGATACTCATATCAAGAAGAATAAAGGTATTAAGAAAAACCTAAGAAGGTACAGAGTTTTCAATTCCAACAAAAACCAAAAGACAGACAATGAAAGCAATAGTGACCTGAATTCACACTACCTGCTCTCTATTTCCATACTTTTCAAGTTCACCTCAGCTCCATTAGCTAGCCCCCTTGCTTCCAGGTACAACTCTTTCCAAAGTCAGTTTGTTAGAATGAGGAGCTGCATGGAATACACAGAAGTAGTCCAGCATGGAAGGAATCACACTATTACAGCTGAGCAGTCACTAAGCTAAAACAGTGCAAGAAACAAAGTCACAAGGAAAGAAAATGATTTAAGAAAATGCACCTGAATGTTCAGTACTTATTCAAGTATCAGGCCCATCACTTCTCAGTTCCAGGACAAGACTTTGACATCTATATGCTTCTGAAGTTCAGAGCTGTACTACCTTTGTAGTAGGCACTGCTTCAGTAGTCACGTTACAACCCGACCTGAATTCACTGTTTGAACCCCGGTAGAATTTGGTCCTTATGAAAGCAAAACACCCTAAGTGTTTTTAATCTCTTGTTTAAGTGCAGTTAAGACCTAGAACAGCACTATTTTTATTTATTTAAAATCCACCTGAATTTATATTCACACTTTGAATTTCCACTGCTGTGACTTCTCCCAAGAAATGCAAGAAAAGTGTTACTTCTTAGGCTCTGTCACACCCCTTCCAGTGGCACAGGTTCTGATAGTAGCTATGTTGGCATTGAGTACTGCAACTTGAGCAGGTGGTTGCATATTGAGGTATTAAATTCTTCAGGCCAGGAGAAAGCTCTGAGTCTGTGCTTGTCCTCATCAAATGAGCAGACCAATACAAGCACGGCAACACCACAGCCTTAAGGAAGAAAGCTGAACCCTGACAAGTGAGCAGCTAAGCCTTGCATCTGAGAGACAGACACCTCTCAGTCTCCCTCTGTCTTACTGATGACAAAGATGAGATTTAAGATGAGCTGCTATTCTTCCGCTTGAACAAACTCAACTTCCCAGGCACTACAGACAGGGCTAGAACTCCTCACTAGTATTCTAGGAGCCAGATACCTACACCTCTTAACACTGTCTGTGGCTATTTAATGAGAGTCAAAAAGATGAAGTCAGACACTGAAGTGCACAGAGGACAGAATATAAGATAAGAAGTTGCTATGTAGTCAAGTTAACTACTGAAAAGTTCACACTCAGTATTTGCTTACAAATAAGCAGATGAAACACACTGCAGGCAAGGTAATTAAAATATCCTGTGTCTGGAGCTGATAATCAGCTGAAAGAGTGTTTCATCAGACAAACTGTGACCAATGAATTCATCAACTATTTTAGACTTAGACTCCATTGATTTGAGTAAAACCACAACACTAAACAACTCTCGTCATACACACCAAAAAGGGAAAATTTCTACTCTCAGAGCACAAACACTATACAGACAAAGGAGGAATTCTGCACGCCATTGACCTCAAAAACAAATTTCATCTCAAAAAAAAAAAACCAACAATTCAGACTCATTTTAACAGATTCCCTTTTTTTTTCTTTTAAATAAGAAATAGAGACTAATTGATTATTACGTATCATCACTATTTCATGTTCTGGGACAGTTACCAGGTGAACATGAAGAAGGATCTTCCCTGACATCAGATGAATTGCAGTTTTACAGTAACACTGGAGAAAAAAAGAAGTTACCTTTTACAGATAAAACTCATTAAAAGCTTTTAATGGAGGCAGTCTGACTACATGCTTAGTTTCAGAAAAAATTCTTGCGTCCCACCTTACCTAAAGGAATGTGAAAATGCCTGTAGTCTGCACAATGCCAGAGTAAGCATTAAAGAGAGAAAGGAAGTTCTGATAAATCTGAAGCAAAATATTGAACTATGTTGCTCCACCTCAAAGTTTCTCACTGATCTTCAAGAAGCAAGAAGGAGGTTAATGGCAGCACTTGAAAACCAATGGCTGATTTTATTACACTGTTGTCCACCAATGCAGCAATATTCTGTTAGATTGTGATTTTGTGACTTGCTCAGTAATTGAAAAATAAGTTTGATCCACTATTCACAGCAAATTAGAAACTGAGATGAGTAATTATGTGTTCCTGTTGTAGAAATTATATAATCACAGAATTCTAAGTTAAGCACATGAGTAGTTTGCATCCAGGAAGAATCCCCATGCAGCTAACAGCACATTTAATGCTAAAAATTACCACCAAACTTACCTAATTTGCATGACAGGACTTTCTCATTTGACACAGTCAAAATATACTGCTGTATACCAATATTTAGGAATTAACAAGTATCAGTAGTCTATTAAAAGGTAATAAAATCAAGCCACTGTGGTAAGGTGGAACAGCTTACAAAGAAGTAAGACACCTTAAAAGGAATCCACACACACCCAAGACAACACAAGACAAAAAAAAAAAAACAAAACAGGAAAGGACAGATAAAGACGTTTGTTGTTTAAAGGTGGTGTTCCACAAGCTGAGAAAAAACAGAGAGTGATGATGCCATGTGCACTGGGCACACAGAAGCAAGCAGGAATGCTGCATCAGCAATCCCATCAGAAAAATCAGAGCAGCAGTGTAGGTAACAGCTTTTGTTGATTTTCTCACATATCTGAAATACACCCCACACAACTCTTCCGCATCAGTGAAGAGATTCATCCGCATACAAGCAGATTTTGCAGCAAATCAATCAGCATTCCTAAGACATGCTGAAGGTTCGTGACAGATTAACTTTTTGAAGTGCTAGGTACGTTAACAGCACAACATTCAGCAGTCATCTGTTTCAATAAAAAAGTGCAACTGCTTGTTAAAAGTTAAAGAAACATACTTGACATCTTCAAACTTCTTCGTTATGACTGAACCAACAGAGGAAAATGCAGCAGAAGCCTTCTGACCTGCCTGAGACAGGGTTTCTGATGTTTTCTTGTACCTGTGTTCAAAGAAAATTAAATTTGTAATTTTAATATGACATAAGGAACTTTTCAGTATACACTAAGTTTGTTTCAAACCCAGAATTATATTTCAACTTCTAGGTGGAGTAAACAAGCCACTTGAGAAGCCATTTTGAATTCCTGCAGTCCTTTCTGGCAATGGCATCTCTGCAACCTCAGATTTCGAATCAGGTTCACCAAGATGCATCTGCCACCCCACACACCTGATTTTCTGCTATTGTGGGGACTTTCAAAACAGAAAAACCACTACACAAACACAAAGAATGGCAGATGTTACTTTTGGTGCCAAACATCTAAAATTCACGTCAAATGGCTTTGTGAAAAACAATTTTCACCAGAAAAGATCATGTAGTAAGATGTACTCTGAACTATAAGGTAAAAGTTTTGTTTTGCTGGAATATAGTGACATTGTATTCTTCCTACACAAACTACGTTCACATTTTCTCAGGTCAGAAAAGAATTCTGCTGGACTTGGGATATCTCAGCAGTCGCATCTCAGTTCTTTTAGTCAAATATATTAGAACTGCCCAAATTACAGGCAGTAATTTTTCATGAGACGATACTGCTAGTAGGGTTAGCTATGGCCTTCTTGGAAGAAACCTATGACAACTTCCACAGGTTCACCTTAGTACAACTTAGCACTGTTTTATCTACACTCAGCTTGTTTCACAAGAGTCGAGTATTTAGATGTATGAGTTGCATAGTTTTCACTTCAACAGCTGGGACAGACTATCATCAGGAAGCAGTACATACGCTGCAGTTGATGTAACATCTTGCCAGCTTTTGGTGATATTCTGCTTTAGTTCCTGTAATGAGTTAATTCCCAGCTTTCTCTTGATTTCTGCTAGATGCTTCTCTTTGGCAGCTAGCACTTGTGAGAGTGTTTGGATTTCCTCTTCCACCTGTTGCAGCAGAGATAAGAGAATTGAGTTAATAAGTGATCTACATTGTTGTAAAACTATGCATTCATGAAAACATCTACTAGACATTAGTTATGGAAAGGATAATGTGTTTTTAGCATTGCCTCATCATTGTTTCCGACTACTAAAATGGAGTTTGTTAGTCAGAAAGCAGTCTACTTGCAGCTAGCTCTATCAGTTCAGTGCACACTAGGAAGCAGGTAGCACTGAGAGACCGTATGGTTAGAAATCAGTACCTTCTGACAGCATTGGCCTACGTGGAGCATGAAGATTAGTCAAACCTGGGACAGCTGCCAAGCCTGTATGCTCCAGGAAGCTCAGAGTATCTGCTCCACACAAGTTTGCCTCCCTGCTTGACAGAACTTGGGGAGGAAGTGGGGGAGGAGGGAATGGAAACAGTGGCAGACTGAGCAATTAAAAAAAAAAAAAAAAGCAACCCATACACCATACCAAAACTTGCTTGGTAACTAGAACAAACCGTTGTGTGTGCACTTTCTCATTTACATAAATTGCCAAATGAGTCTCTCAGAATCATGGCCAGAGCATGGTTAGACACGTCACAGTTTTACAGCACTAATCCATAGGCTGTACAGGTGTGACAAAAGCCAAAGGCATGCATCTATCCCTACCACACTGGACCACACTACTGCAGGACATGAGGCTGCTCACTCATTTAGGTGCCCCTGAAGGAATCTCATTACCTCAATGTACCTCCTTTTGGATACCTCTGAAAATCAGCATGATACACCCTGCTAGGACTGGATTTCCCCCACAGTCCTCAATTGATTCTTTCAGCATGGAATATACTCAGAACTACCAAACACAAGGCTGTACTGAATACAGCTGTACATTTATTTCACAGCTAACGTTGGTACGCCAAACTTAAGCTTAAGTTTGCAGGGAGCTACAAAGGAGAAGAAATAAAATAAAAAAAAAAAAAACAGCCACTCAATGAATCTTGACTTTGACATTTTACATGTAATCAGCAGGCTTGAATATTTGGCTGTTCCTCAACAAGTGCTATTTCTATTGCTTTTAATTTTTCTGCTACTACAAATTCTGGACAAAAACAGTTACATGATTAACCATCATCAAAGCAGTGTACACAGAGCATCCTTCATGAAAATAACAGTTTTAAATCACACCACATCAGTTCAGACTATATTTGGTTTTGGCTTCAAATAATTTTCTCTTTGACAGCCTTGTTTACTTGCTTCTCACATAAGGGGAAAAACGTTACACACTTACAGATTCTGTTTTAAGCACTGTATGCTAATTACTTCTAGCTTAATTCCTCATAGATTTAACATAGATACCTTCCTTTTTTCATCACTCTCCATGCTACAGTACAGAAGAATCCCATACCCAGATTCAGAGGGAATACAAAGAGCACTGACTGTGCATTCACAGACATTGTTACAGCAGATTTTTGTTCTCAAAACCAGTTGAAGAACTACTTGCAAGAGATTTACCTTGGCAAGCTCCTTTCTCAGCTCATTCTGTTCTTCTTCAGAGAGAGTTTCTGACATGCCAACTGTAGCAGCAGCATCCTCTCCAACCTCAGGTATAGAATCAGTCCTCAGCAGCCCTAGTGGTAAATAAAATGTTAAAAGCCAAATCAAAACATGCTGCCCAGATAGCAGATGGATGTACAGCAGTTGATGTACAGCCCCTTTATGGCAGTGCATAATAAAGACTAATGAGAGGACATCAGAGTCACATTCCCCAAGCATTATCATCATTGAATGGTTTGGGTTGGAAGAGACCTCTCAGATCACCAAGTTCCAACTCCCTGCTATAGGCAGGGACACCTCCCTCCAGACCAGGTTGCTCACAGTCCCGGCCAGCCTGGTCTTCAATGTTTCCAGGGAGGGGGCATCTATAACCTCGCCAGGCAACCTGTTCCAGTTTCTCACCATCCTCACAGTAAAGAATTTCTTCCTGATATCTAGTCTAAATCTACCCTCTTCCAGTTTAAAACCGTTTCCCCTTGTCCTGCTGCTACATGCCCTTCTAAAAAGCCTCTCCCCTCTCTTCTCACCAAAACAAGATCTGCCATAGACAAAAGCAAGTTCAGCAGCAGCGAGAAAAGGATTTCACCTCAAGTAGGAATTCTTCCCTTGGATCTTGCACAACCTTCTGTCCTTAGTGTGTGCCTTTTCCTTCTCCCCTTCCAAATCCAGAAACCAAAACTCCACCAGTTCCTTCTGTATGAAACACCCCTGTGGTCCTTCACAGCTTCTGGCAAAGGAGGGAGAACATCTCCTTTTCATCACTCAGTTCACAATTTGTTTGTTTCCTACTCTTAGTTAGACGCTTTCTTACAGCAATTACAGCATCACAGAAGTTCCCAAACTGGAAGTGACCTGCAAGGACCATTGAGTCCAACCATCTCCTATATCTGAGATTGTTGTCCAAACGCTTCTTGAATTTGACAGCTCGGGCCCTGTTGCTGTCACACACAGCAGAGCTCAGCGCTGCCCCTCTGCTCCCTGTGAGGAGCTGCAGCCGCCATCAGGCCTCCCCTCAGCTCCTCTGCTCTGCGCTGAGCACGCAGTGAACAACAAAAGATTTCCCATTTTGTAGCTTTGCCATCCATACTTAAACACACAGCTCACCACAGCGAAGTAATCCTACGCTCATTTGCAAAAGACCAATCTGCAGAGAAATGGCATCCCAGAACTACCACTCTACTCAAGTTCTAAAATACAACAAATTAAACTACGGGGAATATTTTGTTTGTAGGGATAGAGAGGTGTGCATGAGTGTGTGTGAGAGCAGTAAATCAGGCCTGGAGCAGTTAGGCATGGCTCTCCCCCAGCCAGCCGTTCTGCTCGCAGCAGCCTGGCACTGCAGCGCCACGGGTAACCTGAGAACAATTGCCTTCTCTATCCTTTCATAGAGTTCAAAGCATACATTCATCCAGACTAGCTGAGGACACATTATTTAACATTCCCTTACTAATCACTACAGTAATTAACCAGATGCAATTCCACTCTCATTTCAGCAGCTTTTGATGGCATTACACGACACTATTTGGCTTGGGAATCCAGCAACTCATTAACAAGCAATGAGACCATTCCTCTGATTTCCTTGTAAGACTTGGTATCAAATAGATATATCACAATCAAGTCAAAAAGTCTGTTAAAAAAAAAAAAAAAAAGATTCTACAAGGTTGTATATCTACAAAATACTCGCAGCAGATAGCAGTTGTAAAGCCTATAAAATAACAAGTAAAGCTCAATTTCCCCAGATTATTTCCCGTATGTTTTCTACCTGTATTTGTACAAAGAATAACTCTGCTCTCTGCTACATGGGCAGACATTTCTAAGAGGCAAGGCAGCTGCAGTTACTGATGGGGGAGCACAAAATCAGTATCACGTTTTCCCAGAGATTTACATCTGCCTTACACAAACATAACTGCCTACAGGTTTCCCAATTATTTTCTGGCAGAAGCTTAAGGAAAGAATCATAGAATCATAGAATCACCAAGGTTGGAAAAGACCTAAAAGATCACCCAGTCCAACCATTCACCTATCACCAATAGCTCCCACTAAACCATGTCCCTCAACACAACATCCAGTCTTTCCTTGAACACCCCCAGGGTCGGTGACTCCACCACCTCCCTGGGCAGTCCATTCCAGTGCCTGACCACCCTTCCTGAAAAGTAATACTTCCTCATGTCCAGCCTGAATCTCCCCTGCCGTAGCTTGAAAGGAAAAAAAGGATTTAAGTTCAATGTCTAAATCAAAGCACAGCACTACAACCCTGAACACAAATGACTACGGCTCTTCTACAAATAAATTATCTGGTTGTGGGACATTGAACATATTTTCTTTTCTTAGCATCAAGCTGTTAAGAATGCCTTAACTTTTTATCTGATCGTTATCTATGCTGTTAATTACACATGTTCAACTGAAGGAAGAAATTCAAATTGCACTTTTTCCCCTATGTTGGCCTTTGACTGTCAGCTTACCCTACAGGCGCAGTCCTTTCAGGAGCTACAGAGCTCGCCCTTTCAAAACCAAACAGCAGAAGCTTTTCAGGCACTAAAGAGCACACTGACTATGGAGCATTAGCACATCCCGCTGAGAGGCTGTTCAATCTCATTATGAAAAGTCATCTGGATTAGCTCACCAAAAATAGATCAAGTGAATTCAGCAGCAGCAAAACGTGCTGGATCATCTCCTGCATCAACAGCTTGTTTTGGGCATACACCCTTCCTTTGGAAAACTGGTATATTAATGCAGTTTATGCTGCTTGTTGCAGCACATCACCAAACTTGAGATTCAACACTGAGAAGGAAAACGTTAAGGAGCAGGAAGAGACCTCTATATGCACGGATTCTTTAGGAAGATAGGAAATCAACTGCTACTGAGACTCCTCCACACCTCACCCAGTTCATCCCATCTCACCTTCCCCTTCTTGCTCTCTGCCGCCCTCCCATTTAACATGTCTATCCAGCCACCTATGCTCTCATTACCAATTACCTCTACACTTGTTTTATTCCCATTTCTCACTTCAATACTTGTAGGACGCAGTGCATCTGCACTACTGGAAGGCAATGCTTTATTATTTGACAGTTCTTTACTTTGGAGTTGAAAAAACAACGCATTGACACTCTGCTACAATCAAGTTTAGCATGATCTTTCCTAGTCTCTTAAGCAAAGGGAAAATTCTGTAGAGATAACCCAATAGTTGGAAACACTTATCCTGTACTGGGAAAATCTACATCATTTTAAGGTCAGTATTTAGGTGTCTGTATTTCTAAGACTGACATATAGTCACAAAAGTTTACTAAATCTAGTTAAATTAATCAAATAGAGCCATTGAGAATTTAATTGGTTGAGTCTTATAGAAATCATGAGCAGTCAGGAAAACAGAATCTAAGCCCACATTATTCTTCCAGAGTAGACAAAACATGAAGCTTTCACTCAGGTTCTGCTCTGGGGTTTGCTTTGTTTATCTTCAGAGCAAGTTTGTTACTTATCCTGACCTAAAGTACCACCACTTCTTGGCCTGAATTTGGAGATAAGCCGTAAACACAAGCCATTTAAGGAACCACTGGTCACTTAGATGAGCAGCAGCCTCTGGGGTGGGGAAGGGTTAGCCTTACCAAAGCCTATGTCCAGGCAGACAGGCTGTGCTAACATACTCAAGATGAGTCCCTTTTGATCACTACACAGCTGACAAAAGGTACTTGTTAGAGCTCAGAAGAACAAGTTGTTGGAATGATCCTAAATTTCTAAGACTTGAATAGTGTGACTACAGAGTATATTTATTCACAACATATAAGATCAAATTTGAAGTACAACCCATTTGTCTGAGTGAAAGTAGCAGTCAGGTTTTCTTTTGCCAGCTTGGGCTTCTCCTCAGCAAAGATCAAAGTGAATGAATATGAAAGCAGCAAAGGTTGGTGCTTACTGCCATACATCAGCAGTACACACAGAGGACAGCTGCCGCCCCCCTAGAGGAGGGGTGAGATGCAGAGCTGACTGCTGCTCTTCAGCACTCTGTGGTTCATCTAGGTCATGCAGAAGTTTGGTTTTATTCAAGCAGAGCCTTCTCAGAGGACACACTTTAAAATTTTAAAGAGCAAGACTACGAGGAAGGAAAAAAAAAAAAAAAAAAAAAAGCTAATCTTTCTGTATTTGTAATTACCCTGGAGAACCAGGAACTGGAAAATAATATGCAACAGCATGGAAGAAAGACAGCAAAAAGCAGACGAGGCTGCACCAGGAGGCATGGTGCTGGCTATGTGCACACCAGGTTACCAGCTGGAAGCAGGCTGGAATTAGCACCAAGCTCCTGCAGCACAGCGTGCAGCAGCCACTGGCAAGTACACCAAGTGCATGCATGGGTAAAATATATGGCGTTTCAAATGCTAGGTGGAACAGAACCCATGTTTTAGAAAGTATTTCTGGCAGTCCATGGGTTTTTTTAATACCAAGGTGGCAGCAATGAAGTAACTTCAGAGCTCTAGACAGCTTAAGTACGCAATTCCTGCATTTTCCTCTTCACTAAATAAGTAAATAAATAAAAATCTAACAGTCAAAATAGTCTGGCTACAATATCTTCCAGATATTGCCCTTCTGTTCCTAATTTTATTGCTTACTTTGTTTTCCCTAGGATTGCCTCTCTACAGAGTTGAAAAAATTAGCCAAAGCTGGTAAATGAGACATGACCTGCATGACATACCAAAGCTAACAGATCACCACAGTTACCAGCAGGACTTTGATCTTCATTTAATCTATCTTTCAGCCAAATCACCTTTCTACAGATCTCAGCCACCGAGCTTCCCACATGAAGTTGTTAAAAAGAAGTTACCAGACTTGGTCAGCGTAGGTGACTCAGGTGGAGTAAGGTTTATGCCAGGTGACAGGTAAAGGTAGTTTCTGTCCACTCCTGTATTGAAATCAAAGGGCGACTTGTAATCCTCGTTCAGATCCATGCCAGGAAGCTCAGAGAGCACCACCACCCTCTGCTTCTACTGAAGGAGGCATCTTCTCTTTGGGCAGCCGCACCAGAGCACGGGGCTTTCTTCACCCCCTGTTTCTTCACCCGGCTCTCGCTGTACCTCATCAAATTCAGCCAACACCTCTCTTAAATTCGATGCAGCCGTCCAACAAGTAATTTCTTAACCATGTTGTAGCTTCTGCTGTTTACACAGCACAAGACTGAGTTCTTGTCAATTTATAACCAGAGCCGGACTCAAAGAGACCGTGCCTTTAACAAACACCCACGGTGCGCTGCTCCCAGGCTCCTGGAGAAGCCTTCCTCCTTCCTGCAGGACCGCATCGTGAATTTCCAATCATTTAAATAAAAAAAGGTCAGCTGACAGCGGCTACACTAGGATCTCCTTAATCTTCTAGGACACAAAAGGATTACCCGCAGTAATCTATCCTATATACCATCTGTGTAGGACTTTTTCCTCTGATTAATGGAAAATTCTGCCCGCATAGCTCTGCTTCCCCAGCAGCCCCCAGCGGTGCAGCAACCAGTGGCCAAATTCAGTCCCACTGCCCAGCATCACTCTGCAGGGTGAGTCTGAAGGTAACAGCAATCACCTCCAACGGCTGCACCGATATCTGCCTGGCTTATTTTTTTTTAGGAAGGTGCTGATGTGCATTATGGTATTTGCCCAAGAGGCTAAACATACCCACGTACGAGACGTGTTTGGCCTATTTTTTTTTTCTTTTCTTAAAATAAATGGGAGCACACTGCCCTGTGCCCTTAGAGCTGCAGTCACTCGTAGCAGCCAGCTTTAAGCCAGGAACCGGTAACACCAGAACACATGGCCATGACAAAATGTATTTGTTTTGACACGTATATTATGAAGAAAGACCAGCGCGCGCAAGCCATCTGACTTCGTGCTATAAAGATCCAGCCGTGGGAAGCAGAAGTTCTTACTTAAAAGAGGCACTTAGCCCAGTTTTGCAGCTCTTTCCTACTTTTTCCCCCCCCCTAAGGTCAGCTCCTTCCACTGCAAACACAGCTTCACTAACAAGAGAGCAGCTTCACAGCTAAGCAGTTTCCTTCACTGAGCTCTCCCAGCTCCATGTTTTGTGCCTCGGCTGTGAACTGCAGCCTGAACACACAGGAGTACAATCAGATGCAAGCTAATCTTTTCCCCCTCCACCCCCCAAAAGTGACACTGTAGGGCAGATCTGACCAGAGCCATTCCACCACTCTCTGCACAGGCCATAAAAAGCAAAGGAGTGCTGCCACATACTCAAGTCAGTGTGATCCCGAGGGATACCAGAAGAAAGCACACCACTTTAGCTTTAACTCCTCCTTTCCACCGCAGGAGCAGACCTCCAGGCTAATTAAAGAGCAGTCCTTTAGGCTGCAGACCTGAGCTGGTTTCTGGAGCAGGCAACCTGCAGGCTCCTAACAATGAGAGTACAGCAGCCCGAAATACAGATCCCCACTATTTCCCAAATCCACTCAAAAGACAAGAATATGATGTCCCTCTGCATTGCTGACATGTGACTTGAGCACCACGCAGATTTTTTATTTTTATATATTACAGTATTACAATATTACTAAATTTATCTAACAAAGGTCAAACCTCTGGTCACAGGTATTGGTTTAAGTATCCAGAAAAGGTAGAGAAGAGTACCATAGCTGCAGCAGTCATAGGCTGCTAACCAAACACATCAACATGAAGAGCTGTCGACACTGTTCTGCAGCCTTTCTTCATGCTATCCTGCACAAAAGCTCACGCAGGAGCTGCACTAACTGGATTAGACAAATGAAAAGTTATTAGATGTGGCAAGGTGGAAAAGCAGGATGTAATCAGCTGTCATTCTCCTGACACAGAAAGCACGAAGGTGAGTTTAACCACCCCAGAGAATCATTCTTTGTAAACTAATCAATGCTAGCACATTATGACTGTTAGAAATAGCGACTGCAGGAAAAAGAACCTCTAATGGAGATTCATTCACTAACACTAACAGCTAGGAATACCATTTCCTGGCCAAGGACATTTAGTTAGAGTCTATACTTACATTCTTGTCACTTACAGGAAACTCCCTGCATCGCTTTTTAATGAACGGTATGAGGATAAACAATCTGGCCCTGGCACTCTTCCTGTATCTTCACTGCACCAAAGTTGGTTTCAGATCCCTACTGACATCCAGATTGACAGCCTGAGAGCTCTGATCCGGACACCAGTTACATCACAATAGAAGTGTGTATGAGCCAAACTCTGCTATTCACCAGCACCGTAAACCAAGATGAGTCCAAGGCATTGCCCACCACTCCACTGTCACTTCAGGTGTCAGGGAAAGTTTGACACATTACATATCTAAGCTTCCAGGTTAAAGACTGAATTCTTCCACCCTGGCTAATGCGCAGTCTCTTTGCTCAGATTAAGCTAGGTTGCCATAGAGCTAGGTTGCTACAGCAGCACCCAAACAAGCCACCTATATCAGCCTCCCACTGGACTTGCTCAAAGAGTGGGCACATGAGAATCTAATGAGGTTTAACAATGCCAAGTGCAAGGTGATGCACTTCTATGATTCAGTTGAGGCAATCTCCTCTGAAGACTGGCAGAAGAACTCACTGAGAGCAGCCATGCTGAGAGGGTCCTGATGGACAAGAAGCTGGACTCAAGGCAGCAGTATGCTCTTGTAGCCCAGAAGGCAAACTGTATCCTGGGCTGCATTCCCAACTCCCCACTCCAGGGAAGACAGATACTCCCCTGTCAGCCACTGGAGTCTGCTTGTTCCTACACTCCTTCCCCAGTGCAGCCAGGAATGCGGAGCAAAGCAAGACTGCTTGCAGAGCTGGGCCCTGCTAGCTCTCATCTTGGGTGCCCTTTGATGTACAGCATGAAGCTTTTGGACAAGGTTACTGACTCACCACACTCTAAGCACTGCTAGACAGTGGCAGACTCCCCTCATTCTGCAGCCATTCTAAAGTGTCCTTCCATGACCAAAACATCCCATTGCACAGCCTTCCTCCCCCTCACTCCTCAAGGTAATTCACAGAGCATTGAGATAGCTCAAGGTGAATTAAGACCACACAGATGTACCTCCTGGTGCAATCATATACATTTCGGAGCTGTAAGAGGCTAAGTATAGACATATGTTATGAGGCTTAGAGCAGTCATTCTGCACGCTCAAGTATCTTTGCTGTCTGCCTTGCACATCAAATCCACTTCTCACAGTTGTACCTAGATATTACTGCAACTATCAGCTGCAAGCCCATACCTGAGGAGTGCAAGAGACCTGCACCAAAGACAGGAAACAGTGGGGTTTTGCTCACTACACAAGAAATTAGAACTGAAAATTTTGCTGTGGGTACTTCTGCTGCTTCAGAACTTACACTTCTTTGTCCTTAACAAGACAGGATAAGGAAGCAGGCATCCACACCACGCTAGAAGCTGACCTTCAGAAGACTGACACTAAGGTAGATTACTTCTGTCAAGGACACTTGAATCAATTACTGACAAATTTGACTGAATGTTACAAAGTGGCTCCAAAAGGCTCAACAAGGCATTACCACAGGCTTCCCACCATTAACCATATTGTAATCTGCTCTTCCAAGGTTCCAGCGCATGTGAAGGTTTCTCATGTAACTGTTGAGCACCAATTTAGCAGATCGTACAGGTCATTAATCATGTGGGAGGGGAGGAAACTTTCTGCACAGCCAGAAGAGCTGTTAAGACTGAGTAAACACTACTAGCTGGCTGTATGCCTGCTTTTTGTCAGCACAGTTCCTTCTGACACCACTGGCTACCCAGTTATACAGCCTAGCTTCCCAAGGCTCAGCCCAAGGCCACCCAGCAACAAGTTAAGTAAAGCAATAACGTTAAAGCATTTTAACTTGGTGATGACTAAGTAAGGCTAAGACATTATAGTAGTCTTGCAGATAAACTGCTTTCACATGTTTAAGCCTTGAAGGAAAATAATTTATTTACATATGGAAAAAAGTTATATTGTCCTTCCCCTGAAAAAAAAAAAAACAAATCCTGCACTGTGTGGGCACCTGCAGCATCCCAATTCCTTGATGACTTTAACACTTGGGTCTGCAAGCAGAGGAGCGTGGGGTGGAGGGGGAAAGAGCATCATCAGAGAAGGGAAAGATGAGCTGGCAGAGCAAGAGAGATTATCTCCTGTTTCAAGGATGACTGCTTACTCAGCTTGCAGCTGGTTTGAATTCACACCTCCTGCACTGTGCAGACAGGCAAAACTGCAAAGAGACTTTTTAGTACCAGCAACCAGGGTAAAGACTTCCAATAAGATCTTCCCTTGCCTCCATCTCTCCCAGGCAGGTCTCAGTGAGGCAGCAAATAAGGCTTCTGTCCCCACTTTAGATGAGTTTTGCAGGGCCTAAGCCGTTTTTAAGAGCTAAAAAGTCACTTAAGAATCCTAAGCCAATCTAGGCTCTAAACTATGAATTTGATCTTCAAAGCCTCACCAGTTTATAGACAAGTAAAGCCTTACAGCACCTGATCCAAGGCTTAAAACTGCTCTAGGATACAAAAATGCTGTGAAGCAGTACGACCAAGCCAAACAGTAAGCAAGCATTCAGTTAGTACATTTATGCCCAGGTTGGACATTAGGAAAGATGTCTTTTCCAAAATACTGGTCAGGCATTGGAACAGGCTGCCCAGGGAGGTGGTGAGATCACCATCCCTGGGGGTATTCAAGAAACATTTAGATGCTGTACGTGGTTTAGCAGAGAAATACTGGTGCCAGGTGAATGGTTGAACAGGATGATCTTCTTGGAGGTCTTTTCCAACCTTGGTGATTCTATGATCCTGATTTGTACACTTTGCTCTCCCACCTTCATTTAAAGGTCAGTTCATGGCACAGATGGGGTTGCAGAGCTATAGCAGCTGTTTGAATAGTAACAGCCCAGGCTTCTACAGCCCTACTGGTAGAGGCCAGCAGATTGATTTAGAAGTTTAGGGATTTGCAGTCTTCTAACAGAGTCCAACTCACCACCACACCAATTTCCTGCCCCCAAAGACTTTCTCTCGACCAGATCTTCATGCAATAGCACTGTCTAACGGGGTCCTTCTTAAAGAAACATCTCCAACATTTTCCTAGGAGTAAACTATCTTCATTCACTCACATTAAAAACAAAGCAA